ATCGTGCAGTTTTCGGTTCGGTCGAGGTGGCCGAGGCCGGTTTCCTGTAACTGGGAGACCGAGGAACTTCGCGGTGAACTTCCCAAGAAGTTTTCGTCTAGAGGATAGTTGACCGCGGAAGCCATTTACGGTACCGGAATGCTCTCTTAAGACCTTGTTGTCACGAAATATCCAAGTGTTTTATATTTCGTGCAAGATGGTTTACTGCTGGAACTTGCCTCGAATTCGTGTCGTTGACCGAATCCTTTATTTGTTCTTTAAACACTTCTGTTACGAGGTGTACGATTCATCGATTAGCCTGGTTTTGGCAGCACTTACAGGCAGTGAATTATGAAATATTTTCAATACATATTAGTCTGCTTTGTTACAATAACCTGTATAAAATCTAAGTTATCATTTTGATAATAAAATGTGACATTAAATTCGTTGTTTTCTTAAAAAAGTATATTTATATAAAATTTCTATTCTCACAGTTTTATCAAATTTCCGCTATTATTTTAAAATAAGTTCGGCTTCCTCTTAAATCTGAAAGTTGATGAATTATCGACTCCTGAATCTGTAACTCAATGAACTTCATATAATTGGATTTCGAAACAATTTATCTCAGTGAATTCGTCCGTTGTATAATTAGATTGCAATGCAAGAACGGGAAATATATAATGCAGATTGGTTTTACGACAATCTTAAAGAATGACTCTTCGAAGGAAAACAGCCAATCGATATTCTAATAACAATATACATTTTCAACATAGATATAATTGTATTTCTCTCACGTTTCTTACAATTAACAGTAACAGTTAACAGTTTCCTGAAAGTCAAAATGCCTGTGAAACAATGTTTAAAATAAACTTTTATTAAATAGTTAATTGCAATTGTGTTGAAATAAACCTATACCTAAAAGAAACTTTGTTGACTCCTCTTCCCCGTCTCTGAATTTTTGACAACTTTCAAAGTTTCGCGCACAAACGGGGGGTACGGTTTTAAAATGTCTTGTTAAGGCTGGTAATAAGGCGGTACGATAATTGTATTTTCCCTAGAATTTTTATTATACTCGGCGACATGACAACGAGCCTCCGGACAGTAATTACACGTCGTACGCAGGTTTCAGTTTCAAGCGGATGCTTGAGTCGAGTTTCTGGTACGTTGGTGGCCGACGAACTTTGCAACAAACTTCCACGTTCTTTCCTTCCCTCGTAGTTGCTGACCACCAGGACCACTTATGATGCTGCGGCATCTCCTGCAGGAAGAAATTTGTTTAGTCAAACTTTCCGAACACGCCCTGACGAATAATTAAAATTTAGCTTCGCTCCATGATACACGACAATTATTTCTCTACCGTGACAGAAACCAAAGAAAATTCTAAAAAGATAAGTATAAGGTATATGAAAATTCAGATTTTAAAAAGCAGTACCTTCAAAATCCTAAAATTACCAGGCATGAGTCTACAACTCATTTCGCATCATCGCAGGTCACTTTATCTCAATCTTCCATTAACATCAATAAGTCATAAACTATCCAATCGAGTACCGTTCACTACGTAAACTCAAAGTTGCATTATCAAATAAAATTCTAAAAAAAAACCAGTACCTTCAAAATCCAAAACTAACCAGGTCATTCATTAACGCATGTCACCTTATCTCGATCTTCCACTCGTTCAGTACCACGCGTTATAAGAGTACGAATAATTAGCCGGCGCATGGTAAACCATTTGATTCCTAGCTTCACAATAGAACGCATTCGCGTTTGGAAAACTGTATCCATTGTTGCACCAGCAGCTATTCCATCTTGCACTACCATTGTAGGCTTTGTTGGAGTTTAAGTAATATTGATTCCATGCATTGTTACGAATCGAACGATACCGCGCGCAATTCTCGAACGGTTCTCCAGCCATCGAGTACCCGTGGGCATTATTTGTCCTGGCTAGCTGATGGCACGTAAACGGCTCTTGAATCGAGCCGTAGGCTGAGTTGCTTTTGGACGACCGATAGCTTGTCGACCAAAGTTCGTTCGAGTCCATTCGTCTGGTCGATTCCTCGTCGCAAGAACGAGTGGCATGGTTGATGCAACGACTGCACAGGCTTGTATGTTCCGAGGATTCGCCGCAGACCTGCTGGTTGCTCATGGAATGACACGTTTTCGCGATATTTCCACTTATTTCGCATTGCACGACACGATTGTTGGTCGGGCAGAGAACGTTGGGCCAGCAAGGGACGCAGTTCCTTATTCCTGTCGTACAACAGATACTCTCGCTTATTCGAGTCGAAATCTCTCTGCAATGCTTTCGTCTCTGCGGCGCGTCACTCAAGTAAATCGATTGGCTGGATATTATCGTCCCCATTTCGAACTTGTTCGCGGACACTCTTCTTTCTCTCCTACTGGACAACGTCTTCTGGCTCAGATTCAGATCCAACGCATCAGTGGCGACGTCTTGGGTTTCGTACACGGTGTACTCTTCATGGATGGAGCCTTCTTCCGTTCCATCCGCTTCCTCCATTATTGAGGAGTCTATCTCTTGGATAGAGATTTCTTCGGCGTCTCCTGTTTCCGAGACTGGTACTTGGACGGAGCTACCGTAGTGGGCGAAAGAATGTTTGAGATTAATATTAACTCTATGGACTCGTGTGATTTTTAAGTCACATGCTAATCGACATTTTACCGAATAATTTTAGTTAAGACCAAGTATATGTTTTAATTATATAGTGTCTCTGATAACAATATTGATGACGATTGGTAGCACCATCGACCTGAAATATCAAAGTACCGATCGAAAACCTTTTTCCATGCAACATGTTGTTTTCTTTATTTTTGTTCTTTTTGATACTAAATAAAAGTTTGTATTAATTTAGTGTTATTTACTTTAAATTAAACCCGCTTTCGTTGCCCATCAATTTTAATTACGTACGATAATATTTTATAACTTCAAAACATGAATGTTTTTAATGTTTATTAACATGTTAACATGTTTATAAAGTTTGTTAACATGTTTCGAAAATTTATTACCAAAAGTTATACTCGAGGTAAAATTGTTTCTTTCGTAAAATACAGTTCCTTTTTTAATACTACCGTGCTTTCTTCGAATCACTAACCTATCAAACTCTCCCTTGTCCGCCAGTGTGTCCTCCGTTTTCAACATTTTTGAAACTGCTGCCTCTTCAACGTAACCTTCTTCCATCCCCTCCGTTTGCTCTTCTCCCATGGATCCTACATCCTGCGTACCACTCGACGCCACGGACAACGAGTATTCCTTTTCCGTTTCCCGATTAGTCGCCGCGGACGCAGCGTCCTGTCCCGCGAGTTCCTCTTCCGGTATCGTGGACAGGTTCACCTGTGGCGACGATCTCGGCCTACCTTCCGCCGCGTGCGTCATGGAAATTGCCACAGTGTTCGTGCACACCGTTTCCCCGTCCGTTTGCTTCACAGTCATCGAGGCCACCCTCGACGAGATTATCTGTCCGCTGTCACCCTGCTCTTCCAGTGTCATCGCGAGTTCGCTCACATCGCCGTCGGTTTGCGAAGCCCGAGTCACGATCAAATTCGGACACGTCGGATCGCATAACATCGGCCACCTTTTTGATTCAACGACTTTTACCAGGCCGGACTGTAACGCTGCTCGACGTGGCGCCTCGACGTCCGCGAATTCGAAATTTTTTCGGGCTGGGTCGGCCGTCGTTTCGACATTTTTCGAGCGTTTCTCCCGTTTCTTTTTGAACCCTGAAAAAATTTTCAGGCATCGATCGACGAAGCCAAACGATCCTTCTGTGTTGACGGTCTTGCTCCTGGAGCTGCGAAGAATCACGCATTCTCCGCCGTAACGTTCTGAAACGAGCATTCCTGGTTTTTGCGGTGAATCGGTGATATCTGTTGCCGAATAGATGTCCGCAGTTACGTGGACGTTATCCGTTTCGATGATCGCTTCGGTTGCAATGTCTTTCGTTTCGGTTGCGTTCAATCGATCGCTAGTCTTCTGGCTGTATTGCGCTTCGGACTTTATCGGGCGATTTTCTTGGGCATTTTTCGGTAATTGCGTTGGATTCCTTTTGGTATCGTCGGTGTCGTGTTTGATGGGAATGTTTTTAGAATTTTTTGAAACGTTTGGGGACATTTTTACTCTGTTTCTGAGAAATATATTCATGCAGGTTTATCTGTACATTCTATGAAACATGTTCTTTCCCTCTTATGATGATTGTTACATGTATTTTGGGTAGGATTTTTTAGGTAACCATTGTTCGACGTTATCGAAATTGAAACTTGCTTGAAACGTGACAGATAATGTTATTGTGACTCGTGTCGCGAAATTCTTGTTGAATTGCAGCAATAATCTTGATAATTGTTGATTTTATTCGAATTAGTCAACATGTTTCGATGAACTGTATGAATGACTATAACTCTTGGAAATTACACTTTCAATTTAATATTCGTGTTGTTCATTCCACGTTAGAAGGTTATGTAGGATTACGTCCTGTGTATGTACGTAATGAACTTTGATAATTTACTACTTCATTTGCATAATGAATGTAGCCGTTTATTACAGCTCTTCATCATTATGATATATTCGAATACATCGCGGCGCTCTAATAGAGATAGTTTAATGTTATAATGTTAAAGAAATTTATTAGTAAATTTTCTGTAAAATTAAATTTCCCGTCTTAAAGCAGATAAAATAATTCAAAATAAAATTATTAAGGAGGATGCTTTGTTTATCTTAGCCATGTGTTTGTTGCTCCCGAGGAAACTAAAATAAGTATTAAATATTATAGACAACAATTCTTTTTTATGAAAGTTTTTTTCTGAGATATTTAATATTTATTAGTTATGATGTATTAACTAAAACACTGAATTAAATTTGATATTTTTCAAATTTATTACGTTTCACATTTAATATTTTCTGAATTTAACTTAATTTAGTCCAAATTTTACACTGTTCGATTTTTCTAGCACAGATAAGTAGAAAATGAGATTTTCATATCAACAACATTTGTTTAAAATCTTTTTCTCTATCACTAAAAGTAAATGAGTTATTTAAGTCACTGGTCTTAAATGGATCCCCTTACGAATTTAGTTTGAAACGAGTAGCTGATTAATTGATTCGATTTCTTACCATTGTTTACATTGTCAGCTTCTTTTCATTCACGCTTCTTCCGACCGCAAGGTCCAGCACAGGTCCCAGCTAAAAAAAAAAAGAGATTGCAACCTATTAGTATTACTATAATGTGATCTCATTATGGGAACGTACAAATTCGTTGATTATTTTCTTCATTCACAAAATATATAATGGAAAGGTTATCAAAGAAGCAGGTAAGTAGGAAGTATCTAGATTGAAAACATTGGAAATTGTTGACTTGAAATGAACGAAATTGCAGAACGAATGCATGATATATAAAAATTCAAGTGTTATTGTATAAATCAAAATTGTAGTGGTATATAAAAGGGGGAGAGGGTGAGATTATAAAGGAAGTAGGAAGTGCCTAGATCGTAAACACTGGAAATCATTGACTTGGAACAAACGAAATTTCAGATCGTTCTGAACAACCCAATATTATAATATTCTGCTAAAAAAAAAAAAAAAAAAAAAAAAAAACTTTGACATACGAATTTGTTGATCACTCGTATCCGTGGAGCAGTTGGCCACGTTCTCGTCGTTGGCGCACACACCGTTGCCCATCAAATCTTTCGACACTCTCGGTCTCGGACGCGTCGTTCTACCGTTTGTCGGCCGTTTTCTTCGTTTATGATTATTGTGCGGCAAATCGTCACGCGTCAAGTTCCGTCTCGTTCCATTCGCGGCCTGTATAGAATATTCAATTTCATCGTTCCGCTCTGCCTGACCATTAATTTCCATTCCTGCCTCCGGTGTAACCATGTTCTGGATGAATATTCAGCAGTACTCGTCCGTTGATTGGTTACGACGGAAGCAAGATGTAAGCTGTTCTCCGTACTTCTGCGCCGTTCGATTTCGCTGGATGCTCGTGCCCGTTGTCACCGTCTAAGGTCGTTTGCAATTTTATGCTCATCAGTATACGTCTCTTTTTGTTCCCGACTTGGTACTCGGATAGGATCTTCGTTAGAATCGTGCTCGACGTCTGCATCTCCACGCTCACGTAGTTACGCCTGCCTTCGAACTCCTGCGAGTATTCGAACGGCTCCATCGACAAATCTACGCTCTGCAGACCTGCTGCAGCCATATCAGCAGCAGGCGTCAAAGTAGTTATCCCTTCTGACGTGTCAGATTTTTCCACGGACTTGTCTACGATAGGATCAACTTCTCTTGGCGTTACATCTACCGTCTGAGCCTTCTCCGGTGTGGGTTCAATCGCTGACGGAGCTAACTGTAGAAATATATTGCATCGATTAAATTTGATAAACATTACGAATATTAGGAGTTACTGGAACGAGAAATCATTTTGGACGCGTGAAAATTATTGCTGTACTCTACAATTTTTTTTGCTGTACTGTACAATCTATATAGATATAATGATATTATAAATATAAAAATATTTCATATGTATAATATAATATAAAGCATACAAATATATAAATAAATAAATATATATAAATTTAAGATTGAATATCACATTTAAGAGTTCAAATTATATGTCGTACATATTTGATGTAATTCTAATAAATTAGTAATATTTATTATTATTATTATTTATATATATATATATATATATATATATATATATATATATATATATATTATAACATCATTTCGATTCTGACAACAATCAAATCTTTAAACAACAGTTTGAAACAATTATAACCTTTTTGACACCTAACTTTCAACCCACTACGAAAATTATACTCACCGGGTCAGCCCTGGCTCTCTCCTCTTCCGAAACTGTCTGTGATTCCTCCACCGTGGCATCAATCACTTCCGGAACTGCATCCACTGCATCAGTCTCAGTCTTCTCTAACTCAAGATACGCCACTTCAGGAGCTGCCTCTGCAGTATCAGTCTTCGTCAACGCGTCATCGCCAGTATGATCAAGCTCGACGTTTTTCTCAGGAACTGGCGCCTCCTGTCCACTCTCTGCGGGTTTATCAGCAGGCACATCCTCCGAAATACCAGTAGGTTCTTCGACTGCAGAAGGACCACCTATCTCCGCAACATCCTCTACAAGTGTCTCCTCGACCTTATCTTGCTCCTTAGCAGCACTCGCATCTTCAACGTCTTCCACAGTCTGTTCTACAGACGTATCTGCCACGGCCTCATCCTCATTTACATCAGCATCTCCGCTTAATGTAGGCGTAATTATCGGACCCTCTGTTGTTCCAGCGTCAGCAGGTGCTGCTGCCCCATTAGTCACTTCCTGTGCAACTTGCGGCGTCTCCGCAGCTGTTGAAGGAATCGTTGCTTTTTGCGGTGGGCAGATACAAGACTCCGCGTCTTCGCCGAAGGTTTCTTCAGCCTCTCTATCGCTACATATCACTCTATGCGACTTGATAAGCTCGCATTGAACTCCGGTGTCGGTCAAGGGCAACAATGACACAGCTGTCTTGTCTTTTGGAACGTTCTCTCGCCTAATCGGCGTGGAAGTTGCGAACCCATGTTGCACAGAGGACTTCCTCTGTGGAAGAGCAGGTTGCTTCTTCGACGTCTTTGATGCCCCTATCGCTGGCCTTCTCTGACCCGCAATTTCGGGACTATCCGCTGAAATCGTATTCACTTGTCTCATGGCTCTTATCCTCTTCTGAAATTGTACACTCCTCGTGCTATAAGGAGAATTCGTTGGCTCCGTTTCCATGATTATAGTATCTGCTTGAACTTGAACGTCCATGAACGTCACCGTGCGTCCCGACTGGTCGGGATGAACGATCATGGACGCGTCCTGCTGATCAATCGAGCTATTGTCTTCTTGGACGACCTGTCTCGGCCTTTCTTGGTTCCTGGAGCTGCTACTCCCGCGATTATGGGACGCGTCCGACTGTCTCCTCGCAGTTGAATTCGAGATTCTGTTAGAGTTCGAGGATTTCCTCCTTTGGCCAGCGTTCCCATCGCTGCCGCCCCTTTTGCGAGTTTCACCGTACTCGGGACGCTGCGAATCCGTAATGGGTTCTCCGTTCGGTGGATATACGTTTCGTTGAACGTCCTCGTCGCGAGGACCGGAATGCCAACCCTTATTTAATACGGTCTGTTCTCGAGTGTTGCGGTAGTTGCAGCGATCATCTGAAAACGAAAACTTCCGGTTTTTCCAACGTTACGACGGTTTCATTGGACGTCAACGACTAGACATAACTAAAATGCCGGATTCGATAGATAGTTGAAATAAATTTTTTGGAGTGAAATTAGAAACCTTTTGCTCCGTTTCACATTTGGGAGTCCAACAAAACTAAATTACTTTTTTAAATAAATATTTTTTTAATGAATTATGTTGGTCGGACAATATAGAGAAACTAGGAATTTATTGAAACTATTGTAGAAATAAATATTTCTTGAATTTAATTTTAAACAGATTTTATTTAATATATTCTTTCTTGCAATTTGGATTCTTAACTTATGATATCTAATTATGGTACATACATTTTTGGCAGTCGGGTAATTCAGCGACATTTGAGATATCATTAGCCGAGCAACAAATATTTTGACAACAGCGTACGTCATAATTCTTCGGTTTGTCTGACAATATTTCTTCGCAACATATTGTTTCGTGTAAACATTCTGGCGGATTGGTTTGGTCCGCGCAAGGATCGCTTCGGTCACATTTTGTTGCGCAAGTTTGAAACGCGCGAGGATCCTTTGCAGACTTCTTCGAGCGTTTTATTTTGGAGGTCTGCTTCATTATTTGGCCAATGTTGGTCGTCGCCACTTTTACAAAATTTTTACACGTGTCTTGCAGTTGCAACCATAATTTCCCTCTCCGAATATCTTCCCATAGGGATCTGTCACACGTTTCACATTGCTCGTCGCAACATGATGATTTCTTACCGACGAAGACGCAACTATCCGTCTGTGCTCTAGAAAATATTTTATAATTCATGATTCGTATTTTATCCATATTTAGTTCTAAAGATTACTCTAAAAAATAGGTCCTAATATAAATAAATCATAGCTGGCTTGTTATTACAATACATGATGTTTCAAGTTATCAAAATTATATTTAATAAAATTATGAATTACTATATTTAAAAGCATGTCGATCAGTTCCATCTGTTTTCTTGAACATTGTCAGTTACCTGCACTCGCGCTGATCCTGAAAGCTTACAGTGGACCTCGCATGCTTCGTTCTTGGATTGCAAAGTCCCATCGCTGCCAGGGTTCGTTGATCGATCGCGTCCTGGTCGAAACATTTCTCCATGGAATCGATTCGATCGGAGAAACTGCGTCCCATGGCTCCCGGTCGAGTCTTGCAATTGAGGCTGCATTTTTTAACAGTGTCGCCATGCTTCTTCGATTTACTGCGGCTTCTCAACGAGTCCGATTTATTTCTCCTCGCAGCAGATCGCTCTCTTCGCTTTGGACAGTCCTCGAGCGATTCCGTCGACTCCTGACACACCTGAAAGATCTGGCCCAATCTCAGACCGCAGACATCTGCCACGCTCTCGCCGATCTCGACGAATAAACTGGCCTTGGACGGTGTGCATTTCCTCGAGCAGAACGAGCACGCGGAATGACGAGGCTTCGTGAAGTGCACTCGTTGCAAGCACTGCTTGCTGGACGTGCGACAATTGCTGAGATATTTTGGATCTTCGAGTGGGCAACGCTTTTCCTTTTCCACGCACGTCGCGCACGGATTTTCCGTGCGTGTGGTCGGAGATATGCTCACGTTCGAGGAGTACACCTTCATTTTTTGGGAGCAACAGCAATCGTCGAAGCAAGCGTTCTCCGGCTCGAAATTCATGTTCTGCCAGTTTTGGCAAGCATCGTCGTAGTCAGACTGTGGGATCTCCATGATGAAGGACTCGCAATTCCCGCAACAGTTCTCGAACGTGCAGCGAAAATTCGTCGAGCTCCCACAGGGATCTTCTTGCTTCAGTCTGCGTTCGATAAGAATAATTGTTAACGCAAAGTTCTGTCTTTGAACATTCTGGTGAACGTAAGGCTGATACGAGCGATCCTCCTAGAGAGCGAGTAATTCGTGACGCGTTATGTGGAAACTGTGATAAGTGATACGTAGGAGTCGATGCACATAAATGAGACTGGTTTATTTCGTGTTATATGTACAAGGTGGTGCTTGAATACAATTGTGATTATTAGAATGCGTTATATGATGGTTTACTGTACCTGCATTTTTCCTTTTTGGCAGAAGATTTAGAATTGGAGCGGTTCCTTCGTTTCTTGTCAAACATTTGATTAATACTAAAACGCAACAAATGTAAACAGGCATTATTATGTACATAAATAGGGATTTTCAAAGGTTAACAAGAATTTACGAACTTTAAAGATAAGATGGACAGGTACTGTCTTGCAGTATTTATCTATTTTATTTTGTCGCTGTTTTAAATATTATATATTTCTGCTTCGTTACAATAAATAATAAAAATAATTTTCACAGGCAGTTCTGTGTCCCTGCAATACAAAAAAAACCATATTTTGAAAGTACTAAACTAGAATACCCCCTTAAATTTCAATTTATCATCTGTATCTGTAAGAATATGAATTTTCATAAACATTCGCAGTCTAATGATTATTCAATAAAGTTTGTTAAAATTAACAAATGTGTGCTATCTTTTGGTCGCGGAGAGCGCAATTACCTGTCGTAGCAGCTCTTGAACGAAACGTTATACTTCGGTTCGACCTCGATTTTCTTCTCGCATATCTCCCGTTGGGAAACCACGCTGATGTTGATTCCGTTCCTGCAACCCCCGTAAGCGGAGCCCTCATCCGCATCGAACGCCGGTGCGTCTTTCTCGGATCCGTGGCCGACGTACCACGGATCGCAATCCTTGCGTTGCCAAGCATTTTCGTCGTCGAATTTCACCAGGTTCACGTCGCTAACGTTCCCTCCACCCCTTTCGTGTTCGCACATCTCCGCGTAATTTCCACTTTGCTGGCCGCTCGTTTGATACTCGCGATCCATTCGATTCTCGGCGAAATCGCGCGAGCCAGCGCTTTCCAGCGAGCAGTTCGACTTCCTCGAGGCGGTATCCTCCTCGTTCTCTTTGTAGCGAATTTTTCGAACAACGCTCGTCGCTTCCAGCCTCGGTTCACCCTTGCGATCGCGTTGCACGGCATAATCGTTCCCATCCAAGTCCATTTGACCGGCTCAGCTGCGAAAACAGAGCCAATGCGCCCGTTTATTTCGAGCGACTGTGCGATTATCGAACGGCTGGACGATCATAGTGTATTACCTGTATTACCGTGTGCCGGAGCAAAGGGCGCGTGCGAATGGCCAATAATCTTTGAAATAAATTAATTAAGGACGACCGCTCGCGGGTGGAAAAGGCGGGGAGGGTCTGGCTCGGTCTATAGCGTGCGTCAGTTGAGCTTCCCTGGATGGCTGAGCATGTCTGCGTTCCTCGAGCGAGGAATTACGTGTATCATGATCTGAAAACGTTCCAAGTGACGTGAATTGCATTGTTATAAATCGGGGATGGTGAAAAATGGTGATTTTTATGATAGTTCTGGAGTTTGTATAGAAGTATATAAAATATTAAGAGTAATGGACACGTTGTACCGTTCAGAATATGAGACTTACTTTCATTTAAGTTTCGATTCTCTTTCTGTAGCTGTGAAAATATGAATTTGCATAAACAAAATTATTTCCACTCTATGCAACGTTGCGTTTCAAGTATTTCTCAGTTTCAGTATCTTTTGACAATATTTGATATGAATAATCTTCATAGACCCTGGTTGAAGATTTTTCATTTATTTCGAATATTAATTTACATTTACATTATTCAAATTCGCAGGAAGTACGCATTTTAAGTAAATAAAATAAATTATGACCAAAAGTTATTTTTATTATTTCATAAACATTATTACTGCATGAAAACTCGCACAAACGATAATAATTTTACCGAGAAAATAACGATCAAGGGAAAATCAAACTATTATAAATTGATGTATGTTTTAAATATTCGAATAATAGTGTAAAAATTAGAATATGTCTTATGATAGCTACTGTTGTTTAATAAATGTATCTATAAAGATATTAATAATCGTTCTGATCATTCGCTTAGAAATAGCTTCAACCTACAACAAAGTTGTAACAGAAACGTTGCCATTTAGGTAAATATCTTAAAAGGGGATTTTTACCCGTCAGGTCACCTGTGTAATTGATAACTATCCACATATCCTAAATTCACAAACATGTATTTGAAAATAATATCTAATAATTGCGTGATCCTCAACGTATCAAGAATCTGAAATAAAACTTTCTCCTTACATTCACAAGCTCTACCCGTTACACTTCTAATCCTATACAACATTTACCTCGGAAGACGCGACCTGTTGTCAAATTTGGAGAATACATGCAACGATGACCTACGATACGCGTTGAAAACACTTACCTAGACGGTCGAGTCGTATCGTCGAATACCAAACAGGCTGGAAAGTCGGAGACGTGTCGTCGTTTACTCTGGAACTTGTAAAATTTGGAATTTGTCGGGGTTAGTTGTCATTGCCGAATCGAGGGGGTGCCGAAAGTTTGGTTATGAGAGGTTGGGAAACATTCGCGACTGTTATCGCGCGGCGCAGTTATCGTGGTGTATTTTTACGCTCGCCTGTGACCGATGGACGCGCGCTGCGGAATATTCAGGGGGATACCGAAAACAAGCGCGACGCACGCGAAGAATATTCCATATTTTCGTAGCACGTTCAGCAAATATTTTGAATGTCTATCCATCCGCGAGTTAAAAGAAGAATTCTATGAATATTTGCCAAATATTGCGAACATCATGGTCACAGGCGCGTGTATCGCGTGCACGCTGAATGCGATGTGAATATGCTACGTCGTATTCTAAAAATCCTTCCATTTCCATGGAAATTATAGTTTGAACAATTGTAACTTGTGGAATTAAATTTTAAAAGTCATCGCTGAGACGTCAAATGGGAGCTAGAATATCGAGTACCGTTAATGAACATACTGTCTACACGGAAATACTGTCTGAATAAGTTTGGGGTAGTTTTTAGTGTGGGCCAAGATGACCAGCATTGTAATCGCCAGATCAGGTGCTATCGATATTAAAAAAATTCAGCCAGAGGATACTCCATTTTCTTAAACTCAACCGACAAGTACGTAAAAAAATAAGGCTCTCCATTATTCGTATCTATCACCCTTAAAGTTGTGTTAAAAAATTCCGGTTTATATTTGAACGACCCTCGTACGTAACAACTGTGCTAAATTGTAGCATCTAGACAAGCAGTTGTTTTTTCGGGCAACCTAATATTTCCCATTTGCCCAACAATGGACACCACAAACTCTGTCAGAGCTAACGAGCAGCACCCTTTTGCTCTCTCGCGAACACCGACGATTGAAAAGAGACCATCGCTGTTCTCCTTTTCGGCACGTTACTGGTACACCAGTTCTCTCCGTTGTTCCACGCATCTGCATTCTTTCCTACCTTTGTTCTTGCCTCCTTTCACGATGAATTCTCCCCGATGTTACGTCGCCGCAATTTCTCGCGATACAAAGCGCCAAGCGCCGGTTGCCAGCGCACGCACCGCCACATTGTCGCGAATTGGAAAAGGAAGTAAATCATTGAAAGGACTTAAACGTTCGCGGCGAAACGTTTGCCGTCGGCTGTGTGTCGACAACCACGGAAATAATAGCGGTGTTCGCTTCTAATTAAACTGGTCGATGCGCGACGCTTAAAAAATTTACCTCGACAACGGAGTCCCTGTTCTGTGTCCCTTCCTCCGCCGCCCCGACCGCTTCGCGAACAATACTGAATATTTCGCTGTAACGCAGAAACTCGCTAGCCTGTCGTCTGGCGGTTACGCGGGATCGACAAAAGGGGTAAAGTGCATTTTGACGTTCGTTATAATTTCGTATTGTTTCCCCCGCGGATAATAATCCGTCGATAAAAAGCGTGACTGTCCGCGGATCAGGAATCGCGACGGATTATAATTCACGGCACTCTGGTTTAATTCGCGGTCGCGTTTCCTCGTAGCTTTGTGCCTTTACCTAAAAATGAATAACTTCTTCGACGTACGGAAATTGAAGTGAAATGGGAAGCTTAGTGGCTTGATTTTTTGTCGGGGATTTATTAATGGTTAGAGACTGAACGATTCGACTTCTTGGTGAATTGAACGTGCTTTTCTTTTCGTTGCTTGGGCTTCTGTTGGGAAAGACGGGGAAATATTTCATGTTAATTTAAAATAAATTGAGATTATATAGGGATGGTAGGGTGTATGTGGAGTATTGAGACCGGTATGGAGTATTATATTATCGAGGGGGTTTCGTCGTTTATACCGTTAAAAGTCATCAGATATAATATTTAATAAAGAAAAGAAGAAGTGTAATTATTTTTATTATTAAGGAAGATTGCGTTATAATTGAATCTCTGTTATGCGAATTAATTGAGAGGAGCCCAAATAAGAGAATTTTCATATTTTATAATATACAAGTAAGTGGTTAGTAGTTAATACTATTTAATACTTCGAACAAAATAAAATAATATGAATACAATTACATTGCAATAGATAATTTCGTTTACGTAATATAAAAATGAAAAAGAGATAATATTCACGAGTGGAACGATATTCGTTTCGACGTGTTAAAAAATAGCATCCGTTCGCTAAAAAAAGTCACCGATACGTGATGCATTTTGAGATTAGAAATCCTCTACACTTTTATTTCCAGTTGCTCGACAACAATGCCGCCGGGGGTATTATTTTTTGGAAGCAAAGTCAAGTGACAAATCACGCTAGTCACACTCTGGCTGAAACACGGGCTGGCAGCTTTGGAAAGCATGGTGTAGTCTGCCACTACGATAGGGGAAGGGGTTGACTGTCGAGTATTGTGATGGATGTCTGGAGGCTTAAATTTTGTGGAATTTCTGACGCGTCCTTTTCGGTCTCCCTTCGTCACGAGCGCCAATCCTGTCTTCTCATTCATATACAGGGTGATCTGCGAGCTGACACAGAAACTTCTTCGATGTGTTCGTTAAGGATTACTTGGAGGTCGCATTTCTATCGCTATAGATCGAACTTGTTCACTCATTAAATTAGTTTTTCTTTGAGATTATAACCGTCCCATCACAAAGCAATAATAAAGTAAAACTAATCGTATGCATGTTAGGTACTACAATTGAAGTGTGTGCTGCAATAACGAGGCAGCTCCATTTTTTTATGGTTTTTGGGGTCAGAACGTAATCACGGATTTAAAAAATTCCTTTTCTCCGTGGTGCGATAATAAAAAATTAATGTCCGATTGAAAATACACAACACGTAACACGTATTTTTTTATTCTGATTAATTTCGATACTATCAGAAGTTGACACCATGAAGCATCTCCGTGATGGCGAGATACTCGCGAGACACCATGTATCCGTACAGCAAGTACGTTTACACCCTTCGAGGTGGCATAACCTACGCGTGGGGTTGGTTAGGCTTCGAGGTAGGGTCACGCATCGCAGAAAGGAGTAGACATTCTCTCTCTCTATCTCTCTCTCTCTCCCTCCCTCCCTCTCTCTCTCTACTTTTCACTTCGGTTCTTCCTGCTCGCTCCTTTTTCCCGGTTTTCTTCTTCTTTCTTCGCCCACGTCTCCGTATCTTCGTCTGGCGAGAGGGGTTGCCGCGCTCTTTCTTCAACAAACGAGACATAAAATTGTATTTCACGTTTCTGGGGGATCAAGCCGCCTCCGCGAAAACGCAGAATCCCCGTGTATTTTGTAAAGGTAATCCGCGGGTGCTTTTCATCCGCGAAATGAAACGTCTCGAGAGGACGGGGAACAACCGGAAGCCGGTTGAATTTTATCGTGGAGGTGCAGGTCCTGCGGGGGCTCTGCGTCTGAAACGCGAGAACCTTTGCTTACTTTTATTCCGAATTTAATGCGTAATTTTATCTGGACGGATACGGCGCATCGCGGAACGGGATCAAATTATAAAATTGACGGTTTGGTATTTCAGAGTAGACCATCTAACCTCTTGGAGTTTTTCCTTTGAAACAAAGGATAATGAACTTCCTTTTGGGTAAGTACTCCGTCCGTTTCCTTTAGAAATCAAAGTAACCGAAGACGTTCGATTGAATCAACGACCGATCGATTCCTCGCTGTGCTCCGCTGAATACCGAACCGGATACACGCGTGCTGA